AAGAAGTAGAAAATAAAATAGATCAGAATCTCCAGGCTGAGCGATTGTTTTTTTGATCAAATGGTGAATGATATTTTACCACAAACATTTCAAAATGTTCCTTCACCAAATATTCAAATGTTTGTTATTCCTTCGAATAAATTTACAACTAAGAAACTGAAAACAGACAACCTTTCATAGACAGCTGAACTAGGAAAGGAGTAGAAAATGAAATAGATCAGGATCTCCAGGATGAGCGATTTTTTTTCGAATAAAATGGCGAATGATGTTTCGCCACCAACATTTCAAAATGTTCCTTCACCAAATATTCAAATGTTTGTTATTCCTTCGAATAAATTTACAATCAAGAAACTAAAAAAAAACAGGCTTTCATAGACAGCCAGAACAAAAAAGTAGAAAGTAAAATAGATCAGGATCTTCAGGATGAGCAATTTTTTTTTCGAATCAAATGATGAATGATGTTCCGCCACCAACATTTCAAAATGTTCCCTCACCAAATATTCAAATGCTTGTTATTCCTTGGAATGAATTTACAATTGAGAAACTAAAAAAAGCAGGCTTTCATAGACAGCCGAATCAAAAAGAAGTGAAAATATAGTAGATCAGGATCTTCAGGATGAGCGATGAGCGTTTTCTTTTTCGAACAGAATGAATATTCACATGTTTGTTATTCTTTCGAATGAATTCAAAACTAAGGAACTAAAAACGGACAACCTTCCATAGACAGCCGAACCAAAAAGGAGTAGAAAATGAAATAGATCAGGATCTCCAGGAAGAGCGATTTTTTTTCGAATAAAATGACGAATGATGTTTCGTCAACAACAATTTCAAAATGTTCGTTCACCAAATATTCAAATGTTTGTTATTCCTTCGAAGAAATTTACAACCAAGAAACTGAAAACGGACAACCTTTCATAGACAGCTGAACCAAAAAGAAGTAGAAAATGAAATAGATCAGGATCTTCAGGATGAGCGATTTTTTTTTGGAATTAAACGGTGAATGACGTAAATTGTAAATGAATTTACAACTAAGAAACTAAAAACGGACAATCTTCCATAGACAGCCGAACCGAACAGAAGTAGAAAATAAAATAGATCAGAATCTCCAGGCTGAGCGATTGTTTTTTCGAATCAAATGGTGAATGATATTTTGCCATCAAAATTTCAAAATGTTCCTTCACCAAATATTCAAATGTTTGTTATTCCTTCGAATAAATTTACAATCAAGTAACTGAAAAAACCAGGCTTTCATAGACAGCCGGAAGAAAAAAAAGTAGGAAGTAAAATAGATCAGGATATTCAGGATAAGCAATTTTTTTTCAAGTCAAATGATGAATGATGTTCCGCCACCATTTCAAAATGTTCCTTCACCAAATATTCAAATGCTTGTTATTCCTTGGAATGAATTTACAATTAATAAACTTGAAAAACAGGCTCTCCTATAGATAGCCGAACTAACAAGAAGTAGACAATAAAATAATGAAACTATGTTGATAAATACATAGTATACTGGGCGACACAGACTCATGGTATACCTCCTTCTCCCCCTTGTTGCTCTAGCTGAATTTCTGAAATTCAGAACATCGCATATGCTCACTAGAGGGCACTTTCCCACATCTCAGAATGTTTTCATCTTCTGATTTGATTTCCGAATGAAAAGAATAGAAGCAAACTTGAAACGTGAATATCTTCGTAATCGTTTGAAATAACCCGATCAAACCTGGTATTGTTGAATTCGTTATAATAATCTCTGACCGATCACGGAATAAAGTACAGGGTGTTCCATACATACCCCTACTGAGCGCACTCTGTATCTCTGTATCTCAAAAATGACTAACTTGCAAACATATATTTACACGAACTTTCCTTCTTATTTTGAAGTCAGCAACATGCTCCTGAATTTTTCACACGAACTTAAGGAACACCTCGCATATTCACAAGAGTTTATTATATTATATAAACACGCTTCTGTATTTAGCCGAACTTGAAAATTCAAAATTAATAGTTGTTTGCAAAACTAAAGAAACACCCTTTTATAGATAGCCAAACTTAAGAGGAGTAAAGAATAAAATAATAAAAGTGTGTTGATTAATACACAACATAGAATGTAGTGAATGTACTGATTACGGAGATGCTCATATTTTCTATGTTGTGTATTCATCATCACACTTTTATTATTTTATTTCTACTTATTTTCAATTTGGCTGTCTATGAGAGGGTATTTCTTCAGTTTTTCAAACTACTATTTTCTATATTTTGCAATTCGCATTTCTTTTTTCAAAGAGTGCCACCTCGCGTATATTTGAAGCTGTAGTAGGTAGAGATCAAAATATAAGGGGACAGCCTGTACATGAAGAATATTAACAACAGCTGGTTTATCTATGAAAGCAGAACTGTATCGAGCATTATCACTGAGCACTCTTGGAAAGTACTCCGGAATCTCGAGCTCCAAGCACTTTTATTAACAAAATGTGGCAAACACTTCAACTCGTTGGACCTAGGCACAGGAAGTGTCAAGGAAGAATTAAATAAGTTTTATTTTGAAAGTATGAAGGAAATTTCTGAAAGCATACCTGATCCGACAAGTATTGGATAAATTGAAGTTGATGTATATTCTAGTATTAACACGTTCCCTGTCGTTTCTCTCAATAAATTACAGAAGATAGTAAATAATTTGAAAAATAAATCAATGGGATGATGTGCTGACAGTGTCATTATTGAAAAATATTTTTTCAGTGAATGGGTATCCTCTACCAGCAGTCTTGAAGTGCAGCACAATAATACCTGTACCAAAGATAAATAAACCAAGTAAGCCCGAAGAGTTGAGACCCATAAATTTATTAGTTAGCAGTTATTCAGACAATAATCGAAATTTTAGTGCATGAAAAATTAGTGGGATATCTTATGAAAATAATCTGCTGTTTGCATGTTAATCTGGGTTCCGGCATAATCATTCTACTGAGTCAGTTTGCCAATTGATGTGCAATAAGTGGAAAAAGGACATTGATGATGGCAACATTGTCATCAGTGTATATGTAGACCTGAAACGAGCGTTCGAAACTATAGATAGGGAAAAATTGTTAATAAAATGTGAGGCATGCGCATAAAAGACACAGTTCTCAAATGGCTAACAAATTATCTTACAAATAGGCAACGAAAAACAAGAATTCATGGTAGTTATTCTGATGAGATACGTAGTATCTACGGGGTTCCCCAAGGAAGTGTCCTTGGACCACTATTGTTCATACTATATATAAATGACCTACATCTTTACCTAGAGAATTCATTTATCAATCTATTCGATGATGACACTCTGATTCCTATATCTGGGGAAAATTACAACAATATGGTTGAATCCATGCATGATGAGTTAGATATTCTGAATAGTTGGCTCAGGGCGAATGAAACTTGAAATAAATGCTCAAAAAACAAAGTGTATGATATTAGGTAGCAAAATCAACTGGACTAAATTCAATCGAGGGAATTTTGTGCTAATAATTATCAATTCGGTAATATTGTATGTTAATGAGATGAAGTATCTCGGCATTCTTTTTGACCCTCAACTTAACTTTTCTGCGCCTATCGATTTTTTGTGTGAAAAAATAGGAAAAATAGTCGGACACTTCCATAGAATCTATACAAGCCTTTCCCCGTGGTGTAGAAAAATTGTTTATAACACTATATTATATTTCCACATTTTAATTACTGTATGTCCATACTCCTTTCCTGTTCTTCTACACAAATATATCGATTGCAGCTACTCCAGAAAAAAGCATTGCGAATTCTGCTTCGTTGTAGCAGGTTTACTGCAGTGAATGATATGCTGAAGATCTTGAAATTTCTCAATATTTCCCAACTGATTGTAGAGTCGTCTTTGATATTAATTTTTAAAATTGTCAATAAGCAAGCTCCTTCCTACTTGCAAAAATACATGATCAATAGGCCAGATATGATACATTATAATTTGAGGTTCAATGATCAGTCCTATATACAAGGTTTCAACACAAACTCTCTTCATTGAAGGTTTGAGAATGTATATAATGATCTACCTCTTCTAGTTAAGACATCAGGAAATGTGAGAATTTCCAAAACAAGATTGAGAAGAATGTATTTTAATGCATAAATTATATTTGTTTATGTGTGATATATATCGAATGTGTAATATTCATGTATGGTTATGTGATAGCTATCGATGCTAAATAAAGCTCTATTCATTCAAAATGCTCGCGATGACTAACCACTTTCGGAGAGTGATTTGACATAGCACTAAGCATTAGGTACTTCTAAACAGGATGATACTGTTTTACACTTGAATTACTTCTTGAAATAGTTTCTGTAGTTTTTGTAGATCAATCACATCACGTCAAGTTTAATCCAGAACATCAACGTAACATAATAATGTGTCGAGAACTTCTCGAAATAGTAGTCTAATATAAATGATGGATATCGAGAAGGCCGTTTCTGAATAATATCATATGAATCCAATGGGCCATGGTTATTGAAGTCACCGTTGTTTTATATTATTTACTGAAATGAAATTCTTCCCTTTTTTCCTTAGACCCTTCAATAGAACACAGAAAACATAGAAACAGTTCTTCCAAATATTTAGTTCGAGTGAAGTTCCAACAAAAAATTTCAACAAATACAAGACTTTTGAAAAAAATCATTATTCGTGTTGTGTGTAATTGAGGAGAAATCACGAAAACATCTCGAGATGCAGTCCCAATGTGTCCTGATATGATTGACTTTTGATTAATGAAAATCTTGAGTTCTGGCAGCATCGCAAATGTAGACCATAGTGGAATTGGTCCACTTTTCACCCCGTGTGATTTTCGTTATGCGGACTTTTTCGGAGTTTTCAAGAGCTTTTCATGAAACCGCATGAAAATCAGTTTCTTCAAAGAATACAGGTCGTCGAAAAAGAGTCAAATTATGACTGGTCTATTCAGTCTGTATTGGGAACGGCATTCCTTTTTATCAGTATCCTGTATTATACTCACTTTCACTGCAAATTCTGTCCCGTTTTCGATTTCGAGAGAGTGCAATTCAAATACTACTGTGGCACTGTAGTTTGGAAAATGTGGTTCTTGTATCCCCATCGCAAATAAGATATTGTTGATATTGTTCTCATGACCAGTAAATAAAAATAGTTTGGGTTCTTTGTTTGGTCTAAGCATATTCCTCAAAACCATTTGCAAAGATCTACCTGGAACACAATAGATGGTGAACTACCCTGTATCTGTTCCATTTGAATATCAGTATAGATAGTAAATCAAAAGTTGAGATGGGGACGTGTGAGCCGTTTTGACCAATAATGAATATTTTCGACACAAAAAACTCCTAGAGTTGGAAATATCGATTCTGAAAACCCGATATCTCTGTAATCGTTTCCACTAGATCCAAATTATGATGCATTAATGAAATCAGCTCCTCAGGAAGAATCTGAGAATTCAATAATATACAATATATAAAAAAACAGAGTTATAATGTCACTTCCATACCGGAAGTATCTCTATGTTGAAAATACTTTAGACAAATTGCCACAATCGAACAGTAGATTTTCACCAAATTCTCAAATCCGCCGTATTCATAGTTTTCCATATACAGGGTGCCGAAATTACATGGAAGAATTTCAACCACAGATTCTAGAAACACAAATAGTAAAAAGAGTTCAAATAAACATGAGGCCAGAAATGACCTCCTCGGGAATTACAGCCATTTGAAAGAAGGCCCGAGATGATGTTTTTTGTTAATATTTCCGAAACCCTTCGTGTTGAGATAACGAAATTTTGTACAGGGTGATTCACCATAAATGTCCCCCCCTTTAGCTCACTTATTATTGAACCGATTTGGAAATTTGGAAAATCATCTAAAATGATTTTTCAGAATTTATTTTCCGTTGCATCAGAAAATACAGGGTGCTCGGACCAAACGATCTACAGAGTACTACTTGATTTTTTCAAATGGAACACCCTGTATTTCATTGTATTTTTATATTCCCACTGAAGAGCTGATTTCATCAATACATCACACTTGGGGTCTAGAAGAAATGATTACAGAGATATAGGGTGTTCAAAATCGATATTTTTCAACTATAGGATTTTTTTGTGTTGAAACTATTCATCATTGGTCAAAACGGCTTTCATGTCCGTATCTCTCTTTTGATTCACTATCTACTGACATTCAATTGGAACAGATACAGGATGGTCAGAATTCTGAATCTTGAATCACACTGTATATGTTCCAATTGAATGTCAGTAGATAGTAAATCAGAAGTTGAGATAGGGACATTGAAGCCGTTTTGACCAATAAAGTATAGTTTCGACACAAAAAAATCCTAGAGTTGAAAAATCTCGATTTTGAACACCCCATATCTCTGGAATCATTCCCGCTAAACCCCAAGTGTGATATATTTATGGAATCAGCTGTTCAGGGAGAATATGAAAATACAATGAAATACAGGATGTTCCATTTGAAAAAATCAAGTAGTACTCTGTAGATCGTTTGGTCCGAGCACCCTGAATTTTCTGATGCAACGGGAAAAAAAGTTCTGAAAAATCATTTTAGATGATTTTTCAAATTTTTGGATCGGTTCACAGATAAGTGAGCTAGAGGGGGGGACATTTATGGTGAATCACCCTGTACATATATTACTTTTCATGTCCGATTTGGAAATGTTGGGAATTTTCCGAAATTTTGATCAGGAGCGTGGGAAATAGGCAGGTTGACCAGGAGATATGGAAATATCATCATTTCAACCTGAAAATCATACTCTTGTTTAGTTCCGATAGCACTAACTATTTTCGAGATGAATCGATTTTAAAAGTCTGCTGCGTAATAAAAATAGTACTTTCTCTCTATAGGGTACCTACTATAATATTTTTGACATTTTTCTTCCTGTTGTTCCTCCTGTATTCCGAGTCAAACACCACAAGTAGATGATGAAAAAAGGGTATTTTTTATCTGAAAATATTTTTTTGGAAAATTTTTTACCCTGATATAAGGAAAAACCACTACTTTTGTTACGCTTCAGACTTTTGAGATCGATCTATCTCGAAAAGTGAGTGCTATTGATGATTGATGATTTCTTCAGAATTCCTGTTCAAACAGCTGAAAATTGCATGAAAAAAATGAGGGAAGACATGCCCGTAGCTCCACCTATTTTCCACGATCCTGATCAAAATTACAGAAAATTCTTTACATTTCCAAATCGGACATGAAAATTAATATACATGTACAGAATTTCCTTATCTCAACACAGTGGCTTTTGAGGATATTTACAAAAAAACATCATCTTGGGTCCTCTTTCAGACGGCTATCCTGATCAAAATTCCGGAAAATTCTATACATTTCCGAATCGGACATGAAAAGTAATATGCATGTACAGAATTTCCTTATTTCATCACAGTGGCTTTTGGGAATATTTACAAAAAAACATCATCTTGGGTCCTCTTTCAGATGGCTATCCTGATCAAAATTCCGGGAATTTTTTTACATTTCCAAATCGGACATCAAAAGTAATATACATGTACAGAATTTTCTTATTTCAACACAGTGGCTTTTGGGAATATTTACAAAAAAACATCATCTTGGGTCCTCTTTCAGATGGCTATCCTGATCAAAATTCCGGAAAATTCTTTACAGTTCCGAATCGGACATGAAAAGTTATATACATGTACAGAATTTCCTTATCTCAACACAGTGGCTTTTGGGAATATTCACAAAGAAACATCATCTTGGGTCCTCTTTCAGATGGCTATTCTGATCAAAATTCCGGAAAATTCTATACTTTTCCGAACCGGACATGAAAAGTAATATACATGTACAGAATTTTTTTATTTCATCACAGTGGCTTTTGGGAATATTAACAAAAAAACATCATCTTGGGTCCTCTTTATCAGATGGCTATCCTGATCAAAATTCCGGAAAATTCTTTACAATTCCAAATCGGACATGGAAACATGTACAGAATTTCCTTATCTCAACACAGTGGCTTTTGAGAATATTTACAAAAAAACATCATCTTGGGTCCTCTTTCAGATGGCTATACATATAACTCCTCAAGGGTCCATTTCTGGGCTCATGTTCATATGACTTTTTCTTACTTTTTCTGTTCCTGGAATCCGTGGTTGGCATTTTTCTATGTAATTTCAAGACACCCTGTATATCGATCGATTTGGTTCCCGGAGACGAGGAGTATACGAAAACATTCGATTTATATTGAAAAAATTACTTCACTCGCAGAGATATTATTTATTATATTTATGATGTCTTGACCTTCATTCTTTGTTTTCCTTTGCTGTGGCAAACTAGTGGTAGGCTTTACTTCATGCATTGATAATTTGACCAGAACAAACACATCGACGGTCATCTCACGTAGTGACGTATCTCAGTTCTCCTAATTTTACAGCAGAGCAGTTCAAAGATTTTCAACATCTTAATTAGCTAATAACTCAGAGGGTTGTTCATGAAAGATCATTATTTTTTCATTCATCAGTGGATGAACTGGAACTAGTTGTCATGATATGGTGAGATTTCGAAAAAGTATCGCCAAAAACGAAAAAAAAAAAAAGTTATGAGATACGTCACTACGTGAGATCATGTTTGTTAATGGAGCCTCAGATACACCCATGGATATCGAGTGAATTCAAATGAATAACAGATCTGAATATTCATTTTTATTGATAAAAACACAGAAATTCATTCCACTTGTACAATCCTCCTTTCAGTACCTTGATATACGTCATCCGAGATATTTTAAATTTCCGCGACAAACCCGATGTGAGATACGTCACTTTCGACATTTCCAACACATAATGAGAATATATCTCACGTACTGACGTAACTCCTATAGTTAGGTCACTTCGTGAGATTCGGTAGTCCAATTATTTGGGATAGGCTGGGTATTAGATTTTCAATTGCACGATAACCATTGAATATTGAGTTACGCCACTTTGTGAGATCATAGAGTACAAGAATATAAATCACTTGACAAAGTATCTCAGATTCCGATTTTTATGAGATACGTCATTACGTGAGATGACCCACGACATGTCTAATCATTCACTGGAATTGTCAGGCATATACAGAGTGACTCATGGGGAGACTCATATGGCCAAATGGTGAATAGCGAAAATCATGACGAGTTGATGTATACCAGGTGTAAAAGGATCATGGTACACCCCCTTTTTCTCCTTTAGTTTCAGAGATAACTGATTGAAATTTGGAATGACTCATCAACATGATGAACGTGAAGTTGTGACATAAATATGTTTAATTTTCCACTTCCCGTTCCATTCGTATGTTCCACTCTTCGACTCGAGAAACTTTCCTATAAGAGTGTCTATGAGAGTGGAGCGTTTATTTCCTCCTTTTGTACTCAGATGGCGTTGCTCTCATATTGTCTATGGAGGACGCCTATGAGGGAATGTATTGCCGACTTGATTTTTGTTTGGATAGGCTACGCTTAGTCGGCAGTCTTAGGACTGGTGATGGCTGGAGACGACCCTGCACTGATGAGGGTCAAAGAGGTCGAAACTGGTCTGTAGGTGTCTAGCGTGGCCTGGCTAAATCGAAATCAATTGACATTCAGGAAATAATCACTTGCATCAGTATTCGTTTATACGATTCGATGCATAGATTTCGGGAAGATGTAATTCAATGTTCTGCGTGGCATCAGCCAGGAAATTGGTTGTTCTTCTTCCGAAACCTACCATTGTTGTACATTTTATGAACATTGTGTGGAAATGACCTTGAGCTTATCGTATTCATTAAAACCTCACATATATCTAGTAGATTTGTTTGGATTTTGAGCCCCAAGATTTTTCACAAAAACTTCGACATGTCCGTAAGGATAATCTAGTTTTGTGAAGAACCTTTTCCAAGTAAACGGTGCACGTGAGTTTCTTATCGAAGATAATACCTAAATATTCCACTTACGCCGTAAATGAGATAACCTCACCATTGTAGGAAAGTTGAGGTAGCATAATACCCGTTGATAATTTTCGTTATGGATGACTAAAAAAAATGTTTCATGTGTGATTCACCATAAATTCCCTCCCTCTAGCTGACTTATTTTTGAACCGATTTGAAAATTTAGAAAATCATCAAAAATTATTTCTCAGAAATTTTTTCCTGTTGCATCAGAAAATACAGGGTGCTCGGAACAAACGATCTACAGAGTACTACTTGATTTTTTCGAATGGAACACCCTGTATTTCATTGTATTTTCAGATTCTCCCTGAAGAGCTGATTTCATCAATACATCACACTTGGGGTCTAGCGGGAATGATTACAGAGATATAGGGTGTTCAAAATCGAGATTTTTCAACTTGAGGATTTTTTTGTGTCGAAACTATTCATTATTGGTCAAAACGGCTTCAATGTTTCTATCTCAACTTTCAATTTACTATCTACTGACATTCAATTGGAACATATACAGTGTGGTTCAAGATTCAGAATTCTCTGATCACCCTGTATCTGTTCCAATTATCAAAAGTCAGTAGATAGTAAATCAGAAGTAAAGATACACTACACTGTTTTACCACTAACCAAACCGATTTTTTAACGCCTCGACACGTGTTTCGCTAACTATGTTAGCATCTTCAGGAGAAGATTCGTGCCAAAGGTTCCAGTCTTCGATATATATAGAAGTAAAGATATGGACATGAAAGTCGTTTTGACCGATTCGTCACAAAAAAAACCTGAAGTTGAAAAATCTCGATTTTGAACACCCTGTATTTCTGTAATCATTTTCGCTAGACCCCAAGTGTGATACATTGATGAAATCAGCTCTTCAGGAAGGATCTGAAAATACAATTCAAAAGACGGTGTTTCATTTAAAAAAATCAAATAGTACCCTGATGATGTAGATCGTTTGTTTCGAGCACCTTGTATTTTCTGATGTAGCGGAAAAAAACTCTATCAAAAATCATCTTGGATGATATTCAAAATTATGCAATCGGTTCAAAAATAACTGAGCTAGAGGGGGAAGGGACATTTATGGTGAATCACCCTGTACCATTTGGCTACGCGAGTCTTGTCATGAATCTCAAGTTTCTGTACACTTTCCACTCGACACAAATAACATTTTCAGCTCTGTATACCTGTTATCATTCACCATATTTGAAAATGTCCACCATATAGAATTCAACAAGTAGCATATTTCAAAATTCCCTCTGATCGCTCAAATTTCGAAACAAAAATGATTGAATTATTATTGAGTCAGATGGAAAATATCTTCGTTTTCCTTATTTTTTGTAGTGATTCACACGAGACAAACGAGACGAGACTTTGATAAAGTCTCGTCTCGTCTCGCCTATGAAATATGAAGTTTTGTCTCGAGTCTTGTCTCGCAGCGTCTAGTCTCTTCTTGTCTCGCGTCTCGTACTAGAGTCTCGCAAAACAAAGTCATTCTTCATCTCAGACTACTAATCACAGAATGACTCATTTATAGATTTTTGGGTAGTCATTCAATTTGCGATCTGTCGTTATTGCAGAATTGCCTTTATATTCCGCCGTCGTAAAAGAGAGAGAATATAGTATATTTTCGTTTCACGTATTATACGTCGTTTTACAACAATCATGGATTGTGTTTTTAAAGTATTTATGAATGAAATGTTTTGTCTATCTGTGCTAATAGTCTGAATTCTGTCTAAGTATGTTGTATCATGAATTAAAATCTCAAATCTGCAGTCGGCACTCAGAAAATATTTACTTGCGAGACTCTCGCACGAGACACGAGAAAACTTGCACGAGACTCGAGACGAGACCAATAAAAGTCTCGTCTTGTCTTGTCCGAGTCTCGTCTCGAGTCTTGTCTCAAAAACGAGACGAGACCATGCGAGACTCTCGAAAACGAGACTCTCGCGGGCACCACTAATTTTTTGACAACTTCAAGAAATACAACAGCGCCAATTGTCGGAGACATTTTCGCTTGTAATACAACAAGTGTATTGATGATTATCGAAACACAAATTCCTTCGGAAACCACACGAGCGCATAGCGCGAGTGTGGTTGCCTAAAAGCAACACAATTTGTTTCGAAAAAGAGGAGGAATTTTCGATAATCATCAATTACACGTGTTGTATTTGTCAAGATTATTTCATGAATGAAAAATAAACCATTTTCACTACCTATTTATTGTTAATATTTATATTGAATGTACAGTTATTGCAATTATTTATTTTGACATAGTGACATTCATCATTACTGCTACTAGATGCAACCGTCGTGGATATATCCATATTATCTTCTTTTCTGAGGTTTGATATTATATCAGCATGATGTTCTTTGCTCAGTTGTAAATATGGTTTCAATGACATTGAACTACTGTGCCCAGTAACTTTTATTATCTGTTGTTCCCCAATTCCAGAACTTGCCAATTGACTCACAGCTGTAGATCTGTTTGAATGGTTTGATATTTTCACGTTTTTTGTATCTAAACCGATCTTTTCAGCTGACAATTTGGTCCATCTACTTATTTCATTTATACCCATTGGCATATTTTTAAACCAAGGACTTTTATGATCTTTATTCCAATTACCATTAACTGTCAAAAATAGTCGATCAGTTTTAATGTTCTCTCCCCTTTTTGACATCAATTTCTTGAATAAACGAACTGGACAATTTTCTTGATTTTCTTTATTTGACACAAGCCATTTACTTTCTGCAATATTTTTTGATCCACCTTGTGCGGTTTTCGCGAATATAGGGTTATATTCCAGTCTTCCAGTTGGTGTCCCCTTGTTATTTATTTCTTCCTTGAAATAATGAATCAAACATCGGCATGCTTCACCGCCCCGCCAAGCTAATTCCACTGCTATAATATGATACAGTTTCCTTTGTAATCCATTTGGAGTATTTTCATCCCAACTTTGGATAATTTGTGTCAATTCTTCCGATGTAAATGAAACACATGACTTTTTTCGTTTTTCCGGAATATTTTGTAGTTGTTTTCTTTTAGTATTTTTGGCATTTCTAGCAACTTCAGATGTTATATCTTTGAATGGATCAAATTTTCGATTGTATTCATGATAGTATTTTTCTTGGAGTAATTTAGCTGTATTATTCCAAATAGTTTTCACTACCATGTCCTTTTATACTCACTGCCATCGGTTTTCCGCATATTAAATGCCCATTCTGTGAGAATATTGGCAAGTCTTTCATCAGATGTATTTTCGTTTAGCTGATGATTTCGCTGTTCACAAAATTCTGTGAATTGTTTCCAAACATACTTTTTGGAACGCACGGTATTTTGAGGCGTTAAGTCTTTGACTTCATTTCTTATTTCTTCTACACTATATTTACCGAAACGATTTTCACTGTCCATTTTCAAGCTATACACCACACCTAGTAACGATATTTATCAACATATAAACAGTTTTGTTTTCTTTGATTCCTTCACAACTGGCCACAGCCTTCTCAATTGAGTTTCCCGCAATCGTGATCCCGCATTCACTCTTCCTCTTCACTCGCGATCGAAGGTACTAGGGATGTTATGCAACTAACAATACATTAAAGCGTTGAATGGATAAAGCAGCGTACATCATAGGGAGTGAGAAGAGAGAGATGTAGAGATGTCACGTCAGTCGTGGTTGAAAAATTATTCCTATTTTAGGTTATATCATGCGAATCATGCTCAATCAATAATTATTTGGAATTGTCTTATAATAATTGTGAGGACAATTCATATTGTGATAGTGCCTATTGGGTTTTGAATAGAAGTGTAGTGTTTTTATTCCCTGAACACGAATATATTATGACAGCATTTATATCCTGCTGTCATGCTACAAAAACTCAAACAGTAAGTAGCCAATCAGGTGCCGAAATACAAAATCGATAACATAGTGTTTTCGATTATCAATACAGCTGTTACAACCAATCAAAAGCGTGAATTTTCAGATGAATGAAATAATCGCGAATACTGTCTTACCTCCATTGAGTCTCTTCAGTAGTGGGGTGGAATTTTCTAGTTCACATCGTTTGATAGCGACCTTCGTTATCTCTCCTGGATATACCTTCCTCGTCCATTTCGGCAGAGTCAAGTTCATGGTTGTTTCAGCAGTCAAGGTTTGGTACAGGTCGAAAACATTCTGGAGGGTCTTCATTGACTTTCCAGTGTTGTTGGTCAAATATCCGAACAGGGTTTTTCTCTCTTCTACGTAACTCAATACAACTTTGGAATTTGATACCCTTTCTAATTCTCTCAAGTATGCTGGACAGTAAGAGTTTGGTCTTTGTAGGAACTGAAAGAATTTGACAACATCTGCGATATTAATTTATATTTATAAATATTCATGCATGAAGGACGTTGGCGGTTATGGTCTTCTAGTCGACAAAGTCCATGAGCGTCTATTTTATTCAAGTATGCCTTGTTGACGTCCAATTCATATTCCGAATGGGATGGACTCCTCCAAGAAATCCGTTGGGGGATATTCATCACATATCTTTCTGGGATTTCCGTAAGATATTGTTCCATGAGATGTATATCAAAGACTTTCACAAAATATCATCATGGATGATATCATGAACAGTTAAGTAAAATTTGAGGAATGAAACAAATAGGAAAAAAATGAGATGGTAGATATAATATACCGGGTGACACAGGAGACATGTCGCAGCCTGTAGATTTTTTATTTGAAGAGATAAAATTTTGAAATTCACAAGAGGTATATAATAAATGGTAGCGCACTTTACGAACTTAACGACCATTTTTTTCAACTACCTGTTTGAACGGAAGTGAACTTCTTTTTTTGAATGTCACCCTGTACTTTTCTTCAGTCTATCTTTTTTGCCTTGAAATTCTCTATCCAACCATGTATCACAAAGTGGCATTTATTTCTTGATTCGCTGTTGAATTGCTTTTTATTCAAAAAGAATAAGTTGGCTGTGACATGAATTCGATGATATACTTGTTAGGCTTTGAAATTTAAAGATCATTAATAAACCGATGATATTATTCAAAATGTTTTGATATTCTGATCAATGTCTGCAGGTTGTCAATAGCTTATATGAGTCAAGATGAAAACCTTCGAAAATAACTCATGATATTGGGAAACCAAGATAGGAACATATTTTTTCGAATTCAGCTACTCGTACAGAAACTATATCTGTCTTTCATTTTCGCCATGTACCAATCACATGATCTTTCCATTTGGAATAATGAAACTAAAATTGTTCCTCTTATACGATGATCCACAGGGCTATCAGTCTATTTTTTCATAATTATTTCACTCAGTAGGCGGTGTACCTACACAAAATGTTTTATGTGTTTGACAGTTCATCGATTGCATCAATAATTTTTCTTCTTCATTTGTGTGTTGCTTAAAATTGCATATTATCAATAGAGATGGAAAATGTATTCAAGAAACGAAAAAGTCGATATGTTGTTAATATGCAATTTTAATCAACACACAAATGAAGAAGAAAATTATTGATGCAATCGATTAACTGTCAAACACATAAAACATTTTGTGTAGGTACACCGCCTACTAAGTGAAATAATAATGAAAAAATAGACTGATAGCCCTTGGATCATCGTATAAGAGGAACAATTTTAGTTTTATTATTCCAAATGGAAAGATCATGTGATAGGTACATGGCGAAAATGAAAGACAGATATAGTTTCTGTACGAGTAGCTGAATTCGAAAAAATATTTTCCTATCTTAGATTCCTCAATATCATGAGTTATTTTCGAAGGGTTTCATCTTGACTCGAATAAGCTATTGACAACCTGCAGACATTGATCAGAATATCAAAACATTTCGAATAATATCGGTTTACTAATGATATTTAAATTTCAAAGCCTACCAAGTGTCGATATATCATCGAATTCATGTCACAGCCAACATAATTATTCATTTTGAATAAAAAGCAATTCAACAGCGAATTAAGTTATGGATGCCACTTTGTGATACATGGTTGGATAGAGAATTTCAAGGCGAAAAAGATAGACTGAAGAAATGTACAGGGTGACATTTGAAAAAAAAAAGTTGGGGTCACTTCCGGTCAAACAGGTGGTTGAAATAAATTGTCGTTGAGTTAGTAAAGTGCGCTACCGTTTATCATATACCCCCTGTGAACTTCAAGATTTTATCTCTTCAAATAAAAAAACTACAGGCTGCTACATGTCTCCTATGTCACCCGGTATACTGTCTACTAGCTCCATTTTTTTCAGACCAGTTTTGTATATAATGTGTTCCCCCATGTAAAACCTATTGATTGAAAGAGTTTATGGCCATGGCCAAAATGTCTTACACTAAGTAAATAATTCACAATCAATGAGGAACCCACGCCCAAGAATCTCACCAATAAAGAATAACAAAAAAATTGATGGATATAATATAGTAGATATTTTTGTATCTAGTGCGCCTCGTTTGAAAAAATCAGTTCTCGATCACGAGAGTTGCAAACAAATTTTTTTCAACAAACGTCAAAAAATATTATTCTGAAATAAGTAATATGCCTATAGCTTGATATAAAAATAGTGTTGATATATGACCTTAAAATCCTTAATTATTGTTAATCGTTCAGAAATGAATGATTTCTTGGAATTTTGCTTGATGAGGACCATAGAGGTCAAAATCCAAAAATCCCATATAGTTTAGTACTACTTCACACACTATTTCGCGCCTAATGTCATGGTAACATAGGAGAATGAAAAAAGTGTCACTTCGCATATTGTTATCAATACGCTTCGTCATTCTTGACGTTTGTGCAAGAAAGAATCTAAGGCGACCACTTATTCATTTTTCTACATTCATGCAAAAAGCAGAACTTTATTGAACTATATTTAGTTGAAAAAGAAGTTCTTTATTGCACTTAGTGCAATAAAGTTTTTATCGCACTCATCTGTCATTCTACTTCAACTTGCAGTCATCATGACAAACATTTTTTATATTGCAACTGTGGTTATAGAAACGTCATATACAGTGTGTCCCACTTACCATGCTCACCATGGGTATCTTTTTAGCGGTGAGAGATACGAGGTCGGTTGAATGACACCGAATGTGGAGTTTGTCAAGGCCAACTATAATGTGAAAAAATATTTTGATTAAATCTATTCGTTTTTGTTTAATACGCAAAAAACAGATTTTGATCATTTTCATGTCTTCTTTGTAAATTCTTTATTTATGAAAATATACAAATAGGAATTTCACATTCTCATGGCAGTTTTTCAAAGTGATCTCATGAAAAATATGAAATTGATACCAACTCTTCTAGAATTTGAGATATCAGCACCAACTTTGATTTTTCAAATGTAGGTCATAGCTCACTATGACTTAGTTACAAATAACTTTTTTTTCTTTCACAGATGATATGTCGCAGTACTATTTTTGTGTTGATTACAACGGAGTTATCGTCATTTATACGAAAACAAAAAATTATTTGGAAGCCGCCATCTTGAATTTATAAATTATAACAAAAAAATCATGATCTCCGACCTCAAAAACCCCTACTTACCAATTTTGAATGGAATCGGACCAAATGTCCGCCATCTTGGAGCAGCCATTTTTTTTAATTTCAACAAAAATTCCATAACTCCGATTAACTTGAAATTTGGCAGGTGTTCATGATTTCAGTGACAATACATTATGGAATTTTTGTTGATGCAATTGAAGAAGATGGCTGCTCCAAGATGGCGGACAAGATTTGATCCGATTCCATTCAAAATTGGTGAGTAGGGGTTTTTGAGGTCGGAGATCATGATTTTCCTGTTGGAATTTTCAAATTCGAGATGGCGGCTTCCAAATAATTTTTTTGTTTTTGTATAAATGACGATAACTCCGTTGTTATCAACACAAAACTATTACTGCGACATATCATCTGTAAGAAAAAAAAAAGTTATTTTTAACTAAGTCATAGTGAGCTGTGACCTTCATTCGAAAATCCAAAGTTGGTGCTGATATCTCAAATTCTAGAAGAGTTGGTATAAATTTCATATTTTTCTCGAAATCACTTTGAAAAACTGCCATGAGAATGTGAAATTCCTATTTGAATATTTTCATAAATAAAGAAGTTATACAAAGGAGACATGAAAATGACCAAAATCTGTTTTTTGCGGATAAAACAAAAACGAGTAGATTTTATGGAAATATTTTTTCACATTATAGTTGGCCTTGACAAACTGCACATTTGGTGTCATTTAACCAACCTCGTATCTCTCACCGTTAAAAAGATACCCATGGTGAGCATGGTAAGTGGGACACACTGTATTCATATTGAAAATTGCACCAATTGTTCATCCACTTTCAACATTGAGGGGAAAAATAAAGTTTGAGTTAAATTGTTCGTAACGTATTAGTTCCTGTTTCAATGCAAATCGATATTAATGATAAAGTTTTCAAGTTGCGTTTTTCATTTTCCTACACCTAGTGCCGCACCTCAATAAATCATTTTTTTCTTTTTGCATGAACGTAGAAAAAATGTTGTATGCAACTCGTGCAAAAATTGTTTATTGCACTCGTCGGACAATTTCACGTCGAGTGCAATAAACATTCACTTTTTGCACTTGTTGCATAAATAACTATTAACATCGATTTCTCAAGCGATAAATATAGGATAATTCAAGAAATAAGTTTTTCATATTATATTTGAACCACGGAGTGAAATGGCAGCTAGGTACTCCAGAATATACAGGGTGTTCCATTGAAATATATTTATAGAATTTGCGAAAAGTTCCTCCAAATGGTGCGTATTTTGAAATTTCGAATATCTTTATAAACAAAGGAAAATTTATGGTTGATCACCCTGTACAAATCATTCTGGTATGATACTACTTACGAAATCAACTGATGCTTCTTCGAAGTCAACAGGAATGAGCGAAGGCCATCTTTTTTGTGAAGGCGACTGCGAATATATCCCTGACAAAATGCGGAAGCCTGTGGTTCTAGTTCGATCATAATTGGTACTCAGAGCGTAAATCATATCAGGAGAAGAAATATTCTCAAAGAAACTGTCATACCGGTTCCTCAGGAGTTCACCTATTTTGTAAGTTTGCCATAATCCAAGCTGAAATAAGTAATGTACAGTGTTAATACTATTGAAAAGGAATATTCTCAGATAATTTTAAGAACACGAAAAAATGGATATATATATTTAAAGAAATAACTTGAGAATTCGTATTCTCCATTTGATGAAAATATTAATTCTTTCTTGGTCTATTCAACAGAAAACAACTACTTTCCTGGCTATATGCCACGACGAACATTGAATCATATCTATTGAACAAGTGTTGAGACACTGTTTGTAGAAGTAGTAGAAACCAGTAAACCATATCAGATAACCATGAACAAAAAACACAGAATCATCATGTTATTAATTTTATGATTTCATTTTATGATTCCTTCATTAGTAATAATAATAATGATAATAATAATGAAAAGACTTTATTAGGCGAAAGTTTAGCTACAAAAAGCTATGTTACAAAAAGCCAATTCATGGTTATAGAAACAACGAAGTTGTCTCAGGTACGGTGAGAAAACGAATTAATTTATTCATAAAATGAAAGTCCCGTTTCCTCAATCAATATCTATTTAATAAGATAATGTGGAAAAATAACCTCAAAACAGTTTCTTAAAGAAGTTGTACGGGTATTTATCGAAAATTCTACTTTTTCAGGGTAAATTGAGACATGCCTTGTAAATATAGAAGACAACTTGCGGCTAGAAAATACGTGGATTATACTGATGCAAACCTACAATTTATGTTGTTAGTTTTTTAGTAATTATTGATGTTCACTATTTCTCTAAGGAAATAAAAACCTCATTTTTCTTTTTTTATTGGTAAATTGAAGGTCAATTTGGTATGTAACTTGTTTACTACCTTTTCTCAGCCCAATTGATCATTTTTTTTCCAGGAATTTTTCAGAATATGTATAAGGATAACTTCACTTTGTCTCAACTTACTCTGGGTAAAGTATAACTTGCAATTTTTGCCTTTTTCATGCCTGTCTCAAGTTACCCCATTCTAAGGGTGAATTGAGACACCCATAAAATAATTTACAACAAAAAAAATTTTTTTTTTTCGATATCTCAAGAACGGTAGGCCCTACCTAATGATCTATAAGACGCTCTTGTGAAAAAAGCAAATTTTTATCTTGATTTTTGTGAAAATCATGCGTAAAAATGTCTGAAAAGTGTCTCAAGTAACCAAGTTTGACGGTACTTTTGCTGTTACAAAAGTCGTTTCCGTTAACATATCAGATTAGAATAATATTTAACGTTAACTGTGATTTTGTTATGTTGATGGACATATAACGATTCTGAAACGGTCTTTAAGACGTGCATGGGACAAGAATGATAACGTATAACAATGTATGTACCTTGGTTACTATTTAATAACTTTAGTAGTACGAGATTTTGCACTGTGGGGCCATATAATGGTTCAAACAATCCGCCCTTAGCCTATGTCCTGATAGTTATAACTCCACCCTGTAAAGAATGGAAGGCTTAGATTCGACATCTTTGAAGTTGGATACGCTTCAACAGGATGATCTAATTAACCTAAGGTGGACGGACATACTGACCTTCCTCAGAAGGTCACGGACGTTCGGGATGGAGATTTGGGAGAAGGAAGAGTAGATAATGTGTGCAACAGGGGTCAGCAAAAAGGACCCAAGGGGGCCTACTTGCTAGGCGACCGCCCCCCCTTTTTGTAGAAACCCTAATTTGATGAAATGAAAGCATATACAGGATACCCTCTTTTCGAGCTCCACCATGGGTATACGAGATAGAGAGATACGAGGTCGGTTGAATTAGGGCAAAGTTGGGCATTTTTATGCTGAACATTTATCTGCAAGAAAATACGATGTGTCATTATCAGTTTCTGAATTATTTGAAGAAAACGAAAATTGGTTATTTTCGTTTGATTTTTCCAAGCGAAAACCAAAAGACCTAGACGTTTCTGACTAGGACATTCTCAAGGCACCTTTTCACAAGAAATCTGAATCTGTTTTGTTTTTTCTTATGAGCGCCGTATTGGATTCTTGCATTTTCGAAATGTCTCTCATCTTCTGATCACAATGATGTAACGATATGATCGAATCTTTCCTGTCGATCAAAATTGGAAGAAAACCATTTTTGCGAAGAGTGCTTTGGAAGGAACGCCACAACAGTTTTGTTCAATGAACTGAATGTTGACAGTTCAATTGAATATGCGAGCAAAACTGTCGAATTCTCAAGCTCATCCACACCAAGGCTATTTAACTCTATAAGGTTGCCTCATATTCACCTGGCCTGACGTCACTGTTTCCCCAGTCGTCTTTTGTCGAACGGCAAAATGAAAATGGCGGAGGTGATAAACAAAACAAACAAATTTAGCAATGTGCAATCCAGTGAATTATGATAAATTTTGAGGTTTTCCAATATGTTTTTGTATATCCACGAGATAGTTCACTGTTTTCCCAAAACATGCAGCAAGTACAAAAGACTGAAAACAGAAATCTAGAAAGATATGTTATGTTCCCCAGTGCTCCTGTTGTCAAGACACATATCATAAACTCAGTCAAATTCTTATTGCAATATCACTCCATTAGGACTGATTACTGTTGGCATTTGGTGATATGGAGGTTGAGCTACTGATAAAGCATTTTTTAATAAAGAAAATGTTATTGGGAAGTCTGAGCCTAATGATGGAATCATGGTGGATAAGGGCATGCTGACAAGGGATGTGAAGAAATATCTTGAAATTGATTTAGGCCATCATTTCTGAGAAACAAGAAACAATTAACTAAAGAGGATTTCCTTCTGGATAAATTGAATGATTCTAACTCAATGGTTTTATTTCAGTATCAATTTGGAACATATTATTGTTTGAAAATGAAATAATGAGAAAATGAATCAATAAAGAAGTCATCACAATTCATTCCATTTTATTAATGCAATAAAAGTGCAACATAATGGAAATATCTTCAAGATATCTTCCTCATAAGATTAACACAAAATGTTTCATAAAATTAACTGGAATCTCTATGCAAGTTTTGGAGGAAGAAGAATTATACAAGAAAATTAGTTTCTTTCTAGTTCATTAGGGACATTTTAGGGCCATTATTTCCAACTGAATTTATCCATAATAAGTGTGTCTCTCTTCCAACTTCACATTTTTTATATACCATCTCCTATCAAGAAATGGCATTGTTCCACAAGATGTTCTGAACCTTTACCTAAAATTTTGAGAAAATAATTCAAGCTGAATGTTATACACATTATTTAACAAACCTCTATATGTAAGGACCTCAGTAAGGACACTTATTTCAATTATTTCCATGATCTTCCTTCCTAAAAAATAATTTCATATAGAAAAAATTCTAACCATGGAAAATATCGGGACACAAATTTGTTTGCATGATTTGAAATTCAATATCATTTTCAATGAACATTTTGAAACAGCTTTGGATTCATATTCAACTCCATGCTGAACAAATTTATTTGAAAAATCCTTTGGAAAGAAGGAGTTGATTGCCTTTTTTCCCAAGACTCCTTGCTACATGTAAAAATGAAGTAGCAAGTATAGCCATAGTATAAATTAATGTAAGTATACAGTTTTCATGATATGGTATGTTAAAATTTTATAAACTCACCAGTGTTCCTGAGTACCATGCCATAGCTAGTTATTTACAATGAGTTCATTGGCTTCCAAACAAAAAACAAAATAGACTGATATACCCTGTAAAATTAACTTGGGGAATGATTTTAGGGGATCACTTTCCTTCTTTTAATAAGCGGGTAGCAGAACTATTGAAATGGTTTTGCTGTATAATAGATCATTGATTGATCTACTCTCTTTTCATATTTTCACCACTTCTGTGTGTTATATATGCAGCTTCACATATTACAAGTCTTCATTCATGAAATTTCATGATTTTTTTACCTGTGTGTGTGAGATCAAAAGTGCACCTTCCTACCTGTCAATATAAGTCCCTATAAAATGTGTTTACAAAACCATGACATGCCTGTTTCACAGGGACATTCACATTGCCACAGCTCATCATTTTCCTTTGGAATTATCTGAATCTCATGTGGAGGCTGCCCAAGAGCAGATGATTGTAAACACAAGCATTTTATAACATTTGTTTGTTCTATATCCACTCTTGACTCCACACATAATAATATTATTATGTGACCAGCCTTGAATAATCCCTCTTCCAAAGATATCTTCAGTCTTCTTGTCACCATGTTTTCAACTAAAGTCTAAAATTCGCGATTCTTTCGAATTCAAATTCAAAAATTTCTTCAATTCATTTGACAGTGACACAAACGAAATCTACAATCACGTGGCGGGGAAACAGTGACGTCATGCCCCTCCGCGCACCCCCGCACCCTAATGCTATACTATGAGGTGAACTTATAGAAGTTAATAGACCTTGCATCCACACCACATAACGCAGGGAGGGTTGCCGAGTGTCTGTCAGTGTCAGTGTCTGTCAGATATGTTCTCAACACAAGGTAATTTCCAACAAAGGAGGCATACGTTGGCCAGCGCGGTCACCTGATCTCTTTCCGCTGGAATATTATTTATTGGGAACTATAGAAGATTTGATTTTCAAAACTGTAACGATCGATATTGATGAGCTGAAAAGAACCATAATCACCACTTACAGGACTAAGATAAGAAGACGGAACACTTCGCGAGCAATTCAGAATCTGAGGAAACGCGTAGAATTGTGTTCAGAAGTGGAAGGTGGAGTATTCGAGCATCTCCCATAACTTGTTTGGCTTGTTTTGCGAAGAATGAACTTCTGGCTCATTACGTCATCCTCAATTCAAAACCATCGTTTTTCAGTAGATGATCTTGATGAAAATGTGAACGTTCCAGATCCAAATTCAAATAAACTGTCGAAATTCAGCTTGTTAAACAAAACTGTTGGCGTTTTTTTCAAAACACTCTTCGTAAAAATGGGTTTTCCCCAATTTTGATCAACAGGAAAGGTTTGATCATATCGTGTTATACATCATCGGCCTGATCAGAAAAAAATGCTTCTCAGAAATCCAAAATGGCGCCCAAAAGATAAAACAAAGTTGCGTGTTGTAACTTTGGCATCAAGAAGGTCATGGAAAATACAATGACAGATTTAGGTTCCTTGAAAAAAGTGCCCCAAGAATGTTCCAGTCAGAAACGTCTAGGTCTTCTGATTTCCGCTCGAAGGAATAAAAACGAAAATTTTGAATTTCCGTTTTCTTCCAATAATTCAAACACTAGGGATGACACATCAAATTTCTTTGCAGATAAAAGTGCAGCATGAAAATGCGCAACTTTGCTCGAATTCAACCGACCCCGTATCTCTCATAATAACTGAGATCCCCATGGTGAAGCTCGAAAAACGGACACCCTGTATGTTACATCCTGAAATTTGATTTTCAAGCAACTATACAATAGTTATAGAAATTGAAATGAGCTTGACTCAAACTGAATTTATCCATGAACCTATATAAAAATCAAATGAATGAATATAATATATTGAAATTATGCCATTTCCAAACTGGTTTGAAATTTTCTCGCAGAATACCTCACGAGGTTGAATCACTTTCCGGGATTTTTTTTCCGGATATAATTCAACCTCTAGTGGTATTAAAGATGCACATTTTAGTTATGAAGCTGAAATCCCTATTTATGTCAAGGTACTTACATCAGTGAGTTGGCCATATCCCATGGGAAGGAAAGTGTCCAATTTGTATGGGTCTTTTGGATATGTATCTTTGAGTTCGGGGGTCCTTGCTCCATGCCTAGAAAACTGCCACACATTCGACACATTCTGATAATATAAGGAAACAAAGAGAGTCGATATGGACATATAAGGTCAGCACTTCAACTATTCTTATAGGTAACTATAGACAAAATTAATAGAATGAATATAAGACTAGTTCTGTAGTCACATCAAGGGTTTGTTGTATATTAGATCAGTGTTGAAGCTTTCGAAATTGGGGAAAAATAGTATTGGAAAATGTAGAGAAACAGAATGAATGAGTTACATGGATTAATGTAGATATATGCTGTAATAATGCGCAGTCATTGTTCACGATAAATTGAAAATTCTCTCCCTGTATCTGATGTATTCATAGAATCACATACTGTTTACTTAGGATCACAGTATAAAGGAGCTGAAAATAATACTCATCCTCACTAGTAAGCTAGGTTATCTTCCATGTCAGTGGGGCGAATACCAAATATCACGACTCATGTCTAAAGGTTGTTCACAGTCAAATTAACATCTTTTTATACAAAATCCATAGTTGCATGGAGGAGAGATTTTCCTGAAATCTGTTGGGTGTTAACTGGTGAATCCAAATATGTCGAAACTTAGTCTAGTTAACAGCCTGAACATTATTCGTGTTCAGCCGTGCCATCTTCCACACAGAAATGACGACAATCTGTTTGTTGGTTCAGACCCATCCTTCCTAGGTGGTACTTTGAACAACAGTGTCTTGTAAGCAGTCCTGACAAAATTCGCAAATTGTTCCTTCTCCGTTCTACGACCTGCCTGGTTATATTTTCCGATGGTTCAGGCAGGAATACCTTCGAATGAGTCATAATTCAGACCAATATGTGCTTTATTCATCGTTCAACCAGTATTGTTTCAGTGATCTTTGCAGATTGGATTATACACATTGTTTACCCAACGCCTCAGAAGTTGGGTAATCCTGATCCACATCATAATAATAATGCAACATACGTATATATGATTGAAACATCAATGGACTTTTTGATCATCGAAAAATAGTGCCAGCAGTATGCCATCGCATGAATCAATGGGCCATCGATTCACCAGCTATAATGAAAACGGGCTATTCAATTTATTTCTCGATATATTTATAGCTTGCTGACTAGAGGAAAGGACCCCGCACTTTTAGTACGTAAAATGGTTCTCGGTGAAATTTTCTGAATTTTCAGTATGTTGTAGAATTCGATGAACTGATTGAACCTGCAGAATCGTAAAGTTCTTTGATGAACAGATTCTGAGATACAGGGCGTTGAAGTTACAAATCGATATTTTTCATTTAATTATTTTCTCGAAATTCAAAGATGCCAAGTACAATTTTTTTTGCTCATATCATCAACGAACCTCCATATTACTCAACATAATTCAGATGGTTCAGATAATGTAATTGTTTACAGAGTGAAACATATAAACATTTCAGTGATGTCTGAAAATTCGATGTAGTAATGAAATATCGAAAAAATAATTTAGGCGTGCAATATACTATCCTCATTCCATCATGCATCACAATTCATACATTTCATACAGGGTGATTTGAAAAATTGGTGACACCTAAGACTGATTTATTCATACACATCCTGTATATTCGAGTGAATTGTTAACCTCCCAAGATAGCTGATACCGTATGAACATGATTTCGTTGAGATATATAGGGTGATCATGAAGATTTTCGATGATGAAAATGACAAAAAATCGTGTTTTTTTAAATCACCCTGTTATTCATGATTCACTCGGTGAAATTCCCTAATTATTTTTTAATATATTCATCATTCGCTCCTCAACGCTGTCTTGAAAATTCAATTTCCTATCATGACAAGTGTCATAGTTATTAATTCAGGAACTTACCATTTGCATTGCATGAAGAGTTGAAGAGACTTGTTCACTTACATTCGCATAGTGGCCGATATTTTTCACAAATAGTGAAACGTGAGAATGTGGAGACGAAAATAAGTTGAGTATTCGTATACAGGGTGAACATTAGAAATTCAATAACAATAAAAGATATATGAATTCAATAATATTAATTATAATGTATAGAAAGTTAGGCGAATTTCGTTGGTATAGAAGCTCTGCCAAAATGGAAAACGAACAATACCTAGGAGATGGAAGAATAATTCGGTCTTTCACATTTCCATTTCTAATAGGGAGAGTTGAATCCTGGAATCGACAGATTTTTTCACATTTGTTTTCTACTCAGAATCAGGCGTTTCCATCATTTTCATATTTGCTTGCTATCAGTAATTATTATAATATCATTAGATTCATATCCATATCACATTCCAATGATATAATTCAATACGTATAACGGGTGGCTACGGAAGTATTGCCTACGGAATATCTCAGTTATTGTATGAAGTAGGTTTGTGAAATTTGAAGCGTCGATATAATGACATAAGAGCTAGAATTTGAGCATATTGACATGTCGAAGTCAACTTCCGGTCTGACCGGAAGTAACTTCAACTTTCTTATTTTAAATGGAAACCCAATTTTTTTTCTTTTCGCTTTATTCAGCATTCAATTCCCTTTTTAATGACATATCACAAGTTGATATCTAACCAGAAACTAGATCAGAAAAAAATTATTATTGAAATTCACCGAGTAGGCCGTGGAAGCAAAATGAAAGCCAATAATTGAATAGTTGGCTATGGAAACCATACGTCACTTGATAACAGTTGCTACCGAATCATTCTCCCATCTCCTAGGTATTGTTCGTTTTTCATTTTGGCAGAGCTTGTATACCAACGAAATCCGCCTAACTATCTGTACATTATATTAATATTATTCAATTCATATATCTGCTATTGTTATTTTATTTCTAATGTTCACCCTGTATATGAATACTAAACTTATCTTCGTCTCCACATTCTCACGTTTCACTATTTGTGAAAAATATCGGCCACTATGCGAATGTAAGTGAACAAGTCTCTTCAACTCTTCATGCAAATGGTAAGTTCCTGAATTAATAACTATGACACTTGTCATGATAGGAAACTGAATTTTCAAGACAGCGTTGAGGAGCGAATGATGAATATATTAAAAAATAATTAGGGAATTTCACCGAGGAAATCATGAATAACAGGGTGATTTCAAAAAACACGATTTTTTGTCATTTTCATCATCGAAAATCTTCATGATCACCCTATATATCTCAACGAAATCATGTTCATACGGTATCAGCTATCTTGGGAGGTTAACAATTCACTCGAATATACAGGATGTGTATGAATAAATCGGTCTCAGGTGTCACCAATTTTTCAAATCACCCTGTATGAAATGTATGAATTGTGATTCATGATGGAATGAGAATAATATATTGCATGCCTAAATTATTTTTTCGATATTTCATTATTACATCGAATTTTCAGACATCACTGAAAGTTTATATGTTTCACTCTGTAAACAATTACATTATCTGAACCATCTGAATTATGTTGAGTAATATGGAGGTTCGTTGATGATATGAGTGAAAAAAATTGTACTTGGCATCTTTGAATTTCGAGAAAATAATTAAATGAAAAATACCGATTTGTAACTTTAACGCCCTGTATCTCAGAATCTGTTCATCAAAGAACTTTACGATTCTGCAGGTTCAATCAGTTTATCGAGTTCTACAACATACTGAAAATTCAGGAAATTTCACCGAGAACCATTTTACGTACTAAAAGTGCGGGGTCCTTTCCCATAAAATATGTTCCAAGTATATTTGCGCTGAAGTGAACCGTTAAGACACGAATGCCCTCGCCAAATGAAAAAAAACTATTTTCGGGTGCCATCTTGACAAGATGGTGGCACCGGCGGCATGTCTCGACATGTGCGTTTTTTGAATTTCAGTTCTAGAAATCCTAACCTACAAATCTATGGAGTTTCGAAACTTCAGCACCTATTTCTATCAGGTGAGCCCTATATTTCTGATCCCCAATGACTGAGCTATAATTATCACCAGTATCCTGAAGTGGTACCTACATCATTCGTTCCCTCTAATTCAATTTTTGACACGCTCGGTTTTTTGGTTTGTTTGATTGTAACGGAATCTTAGAATGTGATTTTGACCCACTTGAACGTCCGATTGATTTTAAAAGTGACAGTTATACATAATTCTGGTGACAAGGCATCATGATATTTTTGTTAGACAGAAAAAACAAAATGGCTTTTCCACGACTTCTGTAATTATAATCCGTTTCATTCCGAAATTGGCATATGGATTTGGAGAATCAAAATGGCAGATCCAACATGGCGGACGAGTTTTCTAGTTATGGTTCGATTCTCTTCAGAATAAGCATCAAAGGGTTTTCGGAGTCAGAGAATAGAATTCTATCGTTATAATTTGGAGATCCAAGATGGTGGGACGAGTTTTGTGATTATGATTCGATTTTATTGAAAATCTGTATCTCGGGGTTTCGGGGGTCAGAGATCATGAATCTCAAGCGACAATTTAGAGATTCAAGATGGCCGATTCAATAGTAGATCGAGTTGTAATTATGATCCGATTCTATTCAAAATCGGTATCGGGGGTTTTCGGGGTTTATGATTCTTCCATCAAAATGGGTACTAACAGACAACATGATGAAAAAACTAAAAAACACGATTTTGGAGATAGGTAGCCGAACTGAAAAATTGAGATTGAATAGTTAAAAACTGAAGGAATACGCTTTTCTAGACAGCAGAACTAAAAAGAAATAGAAGATGAATAGTAGTTTAAAAAACTGAAGAAACACGCTGATTACATATTTGCCAACACATGGATTTAACGATTTGGAAATAGGGATAAACATGCGATTTCTCCGACTCTTCTGATCCCATCATGAACTGAATCGAATGTGTCTGTAGATGAATGATAGACGTCACATTTTCATTGATATGGCAAAAATATAAAAATAATTCGGGAAATACATGTTTTTTGAATGATTTTTCTAATATTTCATCAAAATGTGTTGGTTTCAATTCAATATCGCTCTTGTGTGTTATGAATACTCGCTTCGGCAACATTATTTTGATTGGGGAAATTGATAAAACATACTGTTGAATAGATATACAAATGATTGATATTGTTATAGAACTCACCACATGCAGTAATTTGAGAGTATCAGTTTGCGCTCGAATATAATGAACCAAAATATAAATAGATAATACAAACAATGTTATTTTCATTTTATTATCAGAACAGATACGGTCAACACAATACTTCAATTGAGAATGACCCTAGACTGTTTCGTGTGTTTCTAATCTTGCCCGGATATGAAACACATACGAGGCCAGATCAATAATTTCAGCTACACCTTTTTTTTATGCGTGACAAAATGTTCATTCGATGTTACATTTTTTCTTTCAATAATCAAATTTTCTCCATTCTTTCGAATGAAAATATTAGCTACACGGAGACAAACGATTGATTGCATGAATAATAGATATTTTTCTACGGCTATAACACAAAATTGCTCTGTTTCACTGTATTCGATACATCTATGAGGAACATTATTGTATTTCATCAATTTCATTTCCGTATCTGATATAACAAGGCTACACGACGAAGAAATCAAGAATATCGCTGTTATCTGTGACATCTGTGGGAATATTAAAGTGTATAACTCGCACGAAAAGCTAATTTCCCACTCGGATTATTGCAGCATTTCGCCTACGGCTTATGCTGCAAACTTCATTCTTATTGTGGGAAATCACTATCATTCCGTGCTCCTTAAACAATATACTATTTCCTACGACCATGCACCACCACACTGTGTTGTTGCTCAGAAAGTATCTCAAACCACCATAGTGATGCGAAAGTGAAAAAAAAAAACAGTGTGGCAATTTCCCGCACACTCACGTGGTCTATCCTAATGTATGGATGATTATAATACTGACTTATTATCATCTTGCTACTCACTATCTCTGATTCTTCTCACACTGAAACTTCCAGTACTTAATGACTAATCAATGTTGATTGAATGTTGAGTTAATGGTAGATTCATGTGAAGTAAATGTTGATTCAATGTGGAGTTAATGTTAATTGAATAATGATGATAATTTGGCTTTTATTGCTGCAATAACTTCCTCTACATATTGAACGAAAAATATGAGAATGGTTATATATACTATATCCTACGTTCTATATTATTATAAAGTAGGTTGGCTGCATAGCAAAGGCAAAGTTCGCATTTCTTCAATTGGTCAGATACTCAATTTCAGAAAATAATAATAATAAACATTCTTGATTTTCCATTGACACATGTCATGTCTTTGATGTTGGATGTCATGTCATGCATGTCAGCTTCAAATTTGCCTCCAATATTTCAGTACGTTCAATGACAATTGAATCAAGGTCCGTCACTCATCAAGTTCACTTCAACACGACATGTCGCAGCGACAATGGCTGCTTAACAAAATGTGATCCGTATTTTACCCCTTTCTGGGAAACACATTTTGATTTGTTTGTAACGTATTTCACCTTAATGTCGTTGGTTTTAAACTGGACTCAAGATATTTTCATGGACAAATTTCCCTGTTAACCTGACCAGTCAGTAACCTCACTTTCATCAATTTCCAAATTCATACTTAGCAATTTCAAATTTCGATTTTATTATAATGTCTTTTTCAAAATCAAAAGTTCATCAAAAAGCAACAAGTCACCAATTTATTTTTTTAATTCTTGTACTTCTTTCAATATTGAACAAATTTCCAAGAAAAAAAGGATTTTTTTCAAAAAATTGTTGAAAAATATTTTTTCCAAAAAATTTCTCAAACTTGTTTTTCGAATTTTCAATTTCAATTTCTCTCTAATAGCTGAAAGCAGATTAATTACTAACAGGAACGCACTGATGATGACTCAACAGTCGAAAGCGCTCTGCTACGAATATTGAATAAATTATCTTGCACGAAATACAAATCTTCCCTTCTTTGGAACATTCATCATGACATGTTACTACCTCTATCATGGAGTATAAGTCCTAAGGAGCAATCAAATCCTACCTCAGACTTTAAACTTGAGTCTTTGTTTACACCTAACTACTGTTGCAGCAAAATCAAGAAGCCCTCAATACTGTGTACAGATGGTGCAAGAGGGAGCAGATGTCTGTGAACCCCCGGAAAACTGTATTCATCCCATTTACCAAGAGGCATCAAAAGCTAGATAAGCTTCGTCAGCCTGTCCTATATGGAGAGAGCATTCCGTTTGCGGCGGAGGTGAAATATCTAGGGGTTACCCTAGATAAAAGACTCACCTGGAACGCCCATATGGCAAAAACTATTAACAAAGCCAGACTTTCCCTCTGGAACCTCAGAAGGGTATGTGGCAAATCATGGGGAATGAACCCCAAACAGATTTACTGGATTTACCAAACAATGGTAAACCCAATGGTCACGTGAGGCTCGGTAGTCTGGTGGACTAAAGGTCTGCAGGAAACAGCCAGGGCAAATCTTGCTAGTCTTCAGCGGCTGGCATGCCTGGCCATTACAGGGGCGATGTCCTCTACTCCAACGGCAGCTATGGAGAACCTCCTGAACCTCACTCCCCTCCACATTGTCTTGGAGAGGGAAGCCAGGATGGTTTCCTACAGATTCTTGTCATTGGAAAATCAAATTAGAGGGGGGCGACTGCTGGACCACTCCGGGCTGCATTTAAACATTCCGGTATAGGATTCGGCACCGAATCCTATACCGGAATGTTTAAATGCCTCCGGGATAAGGTGTGAGACAAAAAATCGCCAAACTCCAGGAATGGTTCCCGACATGTTGGCCACTCAGACACACGTGAAAAAGTGTTTAAAAAAAAATTAAATTAAAAGATGGTTCGAAAACTCCTCTTGGAGTTGGATCCGGTGTGTTCAGCGGAAAACCGAAGACGGAAATTTCCGTCAATCTCGGCAAATATGCTACAATCTTTCAGGTGGAGGTATTCGCAATTGAATTGTGTGCTAGAGATTTGTCGAAAAAACCTCTAGTTAACAAAAATATCAGCATTGTATCAGACAGTCACGCTGCTCTTAAAGCACTGAGCTCCAGCAAAATAAATTCCAAGCTTGTAAGGCTCTGTATTGAATCCCTAGAATGCCTGGGTGCTAACAACAGAGTCACTTTGCTGTGGGTGCCTGGACACCAGGGGGTGGAGGGTAACGAGAAAGCCGACATCCTCGCCAAACAGCGAACCGAATCTGTGTTCATAGGACCAGAACCATATTTTGGGGTCACCGCAAGTGCGAAGAAAACAACTATCTCGGGCTGGGCAGAAGGAAAAACACTCACGTACTGGTCTGAATTACCAGGATTATACCATTCGAAGGCGTTCCTGCCTAAACCATCGGAAAAATAACCAGGCAGATCCTACAATGGAGCAGGGGTAACCTGCGACTTCTGACTGGACTGCTTACGGGACACTGTCGTCTAAGATACCACCTGGGAAGGATGGGTCTGAACCAACCAACGGACTGTCGGTTCTGTTGTGTGGAAGACGAAACGGCTGAACACATATTATGTTCATGCTCTAGCTTAGAAAGCCTAAGGTTCGACACATTTGGCTTTACCAATTTAGAACCTATCGATTTCAGACAAATCTCACCCAATTCAACTATGAACTTTGTAAAAAGATGTGGATTGTACGGTGAACTGTAACCTCTAGGGGTGAGCCACAATAGACCCATCTGGGGTCGCAGTGGAGGGGAGGTATTCGCCCCACTCACATGGAACCTAACCTAACCTAGGTGATAAATCTCAAGATTTACAGTTTTTCATGAAGAGGCACTTACTGATTGAAAACCGCGACTTTCACCACGTGCCTAACCTCGGTGAATCATTCTTCTACCCTTAGGAGTAGGCTTTCTAGAAAATCACAAGATCACTTGCCGTCAACGTGTTGACTCTTGACAGTACTCCTACTAGACCCTTCTCCACTTCGTCCCCTGGAACAATTTCTCGCGCATCGAATATTTTTAACTTTCCTACTTATCAGGCGTAGGTTATTCATATTCTCCACTTCAAAACTAAACATATACTGACTGTCCCGATGAAATTCAAGCTCCATCCAGAATGGACCGCTACAATCTCTCAATTCGTTATCGATGACAACCTCTCATCACTATCCAAAATCTGAGAGTTGTGCTACCTTCTGGTAGGGATTTGAAGTTACGAGGATGAAAAAAGCAGATAAGTCATTTCCCCTCAATTGAGAAATCGTTGTGTTCGAGCGTTCTTCCATATTTTCATTATAAACCCCTAAAAAAGTAGTGAAAATTTCTCGGTGGATCACCCTGTATAGTGCCCTGCAATTGAAGTGGGACACCTGACATATTCGCTGAGATTCGGAAGATTATAACTTTCCACAAAATTTTCAATTCGGTTTTCAGATTTCATGAGTTCATTTCATTGTCTGCAGGATCGTCAATTCAGAAACCAAAAAATTGCAGAATACATGTTTCACAGAGTATCGAATTCGAAATGATCCCGTTCCGTTAAAAAAAATTTCTTCTGGTCTCGTCATATTGTATCATAGAGTCTGATGCCATATCCCGATTCGAATTTTATTTTCTAATTACACTATCCAGTGTCACAAAAATAAGTTGCATTTCTAAAATATTTTCACGGTTATGAGACTCATTTCGAGATTGACTCACCTATCAATACAGGGTGAACTTCAGAGTTCTATTCAGGCTTCAATTCGTATTTGTAAATGGTGGCAATAATGTGTGCCATGTTGAAGATCTTTGATCGTATCTCAATCGTTTGAATGATCACACAGATGATTAAAGAGTGATATGATCTCATGAAGCAATTTAGTTTTTATCGCAATCAGGTTGATAATTTCGAACTGGTATATTTTTTTCATGTATTTTTCAAGCGACTCTCTGGATCGCCCTGATGTATTATCAAACAACAAGAATATACTGATCGATGAGGGGGTGAAGCAGAATTGAATATTCATCCACAATTTTCATTTCATCAAAAAATATACCAGTTTGAAATCATCAACCTGATTGCAAAAAAATCGAAACTAAAACTTGGAGCCTGTAAAACTGCAAACTACCTTGATGAAAAATGAATTAGTATCAAGTGGTTCGAATTTTCTATGGGCCACCTAAAGTCGTATTTTTTTTTTATATTTTACAAAACAAATCATATTGACAGAACAGAACAGATCAATCTATAATAATAAAAAATCATCTCAAGATATGACATAATACGACTCCATGAAACAATATGAAAAAAACAACAGAAACATTTTTGCGGTCTGAAAACAAAAAAATGAACTTCTGAAATCTATTTATTTGGAAGTTGAAATCTTACGAATCTGAGTGAAAATTTCAGGTAGCCCACTTCGATTGCGGGGCACTGTATTTCATTGATTTCACAATAATGTAGGTATTCTGCATATTTTGTTGATTTGATAGAAGGACACTCGACAACATTACCTAGATCGTTTTCATATTTGGAGTGCAGCACCCAAACATACCCTGAAACTGTTGGATTCTGCCCAAAAAAGGACAATGGGCTTATATCACAAAAACATTTTATTTCATAATTCGATGAAATCACCCAAACTAGCTCACCACCGCAAACCGTTTCTTGCTGTGAGCTCCCTACGTTTTATGAAAAATTATTGAAATCCCCGAAAACGAGGCGATGATGTGACGTCAAAACCCTAATACTGAAACAAGACTATTCCAGACAGAGATGAATGATACATGATTTCTGACAGAGTGAATTAGCGCGAGATCACAGTTGAAAGAATTAATATATCAGTTGCCTCAGTCTCCGTCGGTCGTTTGGTATTTTCTTTTAACTATGACGAGATGAGGTTTCCACGTCATAAGAGGGTCCGTTTTCAGAAGGTACTATTATTTATGCCAAAAAAAAGGAACATTCCAGTTAATTTTTTGATCGAACTTTGTCGTCAATCATAATTTATGTATAAAAGGATCATTATGAACATGGTTTGAGTTAAAAGTTCTACTAAGGTGTACACGCCCATTCGTCTTGTGGGTGATGCCTCGCTCACAAACTCACTCACTCCTCTAGAACACCGTTGAAAAGTTGGCGATCTGGCTCTATTTTATAGATATTTTCAAGGACGATGCTCTTCTCAAATATCCACAATTGTTCCTCACTTCGCAGTCCCCACGAGATCAACCCGTCGAGTTGAGGCTTCCCATCCCTTCGTGTTCACTTTGGAGACCTGCAGAACATCTCTTTCCAAAGACTCATTCATCGAACGAACAGCGAGGCTCTGGAACACATTGCCAAGGGAGGTGTTCCCCGAGGCATATAACCTCCAGAAATTCAAGAAGAACACAAATTCCTACCTTATTTTCCTTGGTTCTCACGATGTTCTCTGAACATTACAGGATTTCCCTTTTCGTGGGAACCATAACATAAAAAGGAAATATTGAATAAACAATAATGGACCAAGCACACTGCCCTGTGGCACTCCTATATAGAAATGGTTTATATGCCTGAGAAATGATCTGTTGCACCATCTTTGATTAATACTTTCTGCGTTCTATTAGTAATATAAGATGAAAACCAATCAGGTGCTATATTCCACGGATACCCATCTTGAAAAATTTGCTGAGAACTGTGTCATGGTTCACACATTCGAATGAGTATTCCAGTCATCACATAATCTGACCAATCACAAGCCAGTGACAACGTCTGCTTATCGCGAAAACATGAGCTGTTATTCAATTCTGATTGGTCTGACAGCGTTCATGTTTTCAACGATGTAATCATGGATAGCAAATCAAAGCCTGGATGTAACCATGGATAGCAAAGCAAAGTCTGTCAGTTTGGCATGAAATAATCATATCTGTACTTGTCAGAATACATCACTCAATTATAATGATACCTATTTATGTATCAAGGGCGTGAAGTAGGCGTTTATGGTCTGCGGCGTGAATAATGACCCGATGGCGTTAGACGAGGGCCATTACACGACGGAGGCTATAATAGTTATTTATGTATCAAGGGCGTAAAATATGCTTTTATGGACCGCAGCGTGTAAGTAATAGACCGAGCGATAGCGAGGGCTATTAACACGCCTAGGTCCACAAAAGCTAGTTACGCCCGGAATACATACAACATTTTATGCACGACCTGTATATATTTGATATCTCATGTAGGTATCTATTCACCCCTCAAGCACAATAAAAATACATCACGGTTGCAGTGAGACTGTATTGTATACATATCGCAAATACAATTAATCAAGAAGTATGGAATCAACGTTACCATGGCAACTCAGTCAATTTTTCGAAATAGAAATTAATAGGCCAGTAGCCATATTAACTGTCAATTTGTATAATCCTCTGATGAAGGTAATCATACATAATTCATCAGTGATTTAAAAATGAATTCTAGTGATGAAGAAAGTGTGTATTGTACTCCACCAGAAATTAGTGAGGCAGCTGAGGAAGCAAAATCGAGTTTATTGCCAAGTAAATAAAAAAAAAAATATACGACAAAGTATACGAAGAATTCGTAAGCTGGTGCGACAGGAATGATGTAAAAAATAAGAACTACACTGAAAGTGTGCTTCTTGCCTATTTTCTGGAAAAATCAAAATCTCGTAAGCCCTCTTCCATGATTGTGGTCATATTATTCCATGTTGAAAGCTACTCTAAATGTACATGATAATAGAGATATTAGTGAATATGCAAGATTGATAGCTTTTTTGAAAAGAAAATCTGACGGTTATGAACCGAAGAAATCGAAGATTCTAAGCAGAGAAGAAATAGAGTTATTCTTGAGTGAAGCACCAGACGATTCGTACCTTATGATGAAAGTAAGTACTATTCTCATGCTTTCTTAACAGTGACATTAGCTTTACCACCAGCTCAATGACTTTATCGCCCTCACTGCATGCACTTCATGCACTAGTGGTTTATTTCCCGAGTCACAAGTAAATGACTAGATCTCAACAAAGTACAATTCATATGTTACTCATGAATTCAGTTTTCAAGAGGAGCGCAATGTTTATGAGTATAACCTACATATTAAAATTACCGTACGAATATCGCAATTATCGTAACTCTTTGTTCACTAACAGAGATTCATTCCTTGAGATGTAACAATATGTATACCTAGTATATAGCTACCAAAATCCTGAATTCGACATTGTCAATCAATCTGATGGTTGCTGCTTAGCAATACATCCGAAAAACAAGCTGAAATTGTCATCTTTCGGCTAAGACAGCCAGAAAGCAACTATTCAAAGATCATAATCATAACGAAAGAATCAGCTGAGAGTTCAAATATAGGTATTTTACAAATGGATGTGTGAATATAAGGAACTTGAGAACAGCGGGCGGTAAAGTGCACTTTATGACTCGTGGGAGATAATGGGCCCGCGGGCGGTAAAGTGCTACTTTTTCTGAAAATTTTTATGAAACGGTAAGTATCTATTGCAAATTTCGTAAAAATACTTTATTCAATAATGCACTATGAGGTTTCGAAAAATAATTTATTCGAGTAGACATAATTATTGTATGGTAAGTTTTATAAATCATTATTGGAGATGAACCTGTTGCCTTCAGAATGTTTTCCACTGTAACGGTATCTACATCGACCATACGCTCCTGAAAAAAAATAAAGGAAATATAGAAAATCCTAACTTTTTCTCATTTATACAGACTCGAATGTACATACGATACTTGCAGATAGAGGACACTTTCACGGTTTCTAAACACCTTATTATGTTATTTTTATTCGGGCGGAATCTTCATCTGGTCATAATTTTTTGACCACTTTGTATAACCTATTCATAATTCGTTGAAATATCCCACTTATATGACGCATAGATACTAAATTGAAATAGTGATCAGGATCCAGGTCCGTCTTAAGGAAAAACAGAAAATATGTTTTATTTCAAAAACAACACTGAATGGCTAAATTTAGTGAATCTGTTTTGATATTTGGGAGGAGCGGGAAGAAATGAATAATGCGAAATATCCCATTTGACATATGGTTCATTATTATGTTTTGAAATATTCAGTTCCATTTCGAAACATTTCAATTCAACTCATGATTCAAAATCCAATTTCGATGCGAAAAAATAACATTCTCCAAAATTGAACATCAATAGGTGAACTATTCATAGATTTGTTTGTTTGTTAATGATCTTAGAAATTTTCGAGGACTCATTTTATTCTTCGCCATGAGCTATGAAAAGTATGGTGTGCAAAACATTTTTAAATTTTGACAGTTGATTATCACTGGTGTGATATTTTATTGGTGAGGTTATGATGTTGAGGCATATAATTATGAACATTTTGAAATGTAACAATCCAATATACAAGCAACAACAAATATCTTAACGTTACCAATAATATCACACTATTGAACTGTCGGAATATCACTATCATTTGCACAGCCAACTTTACTGCAGCTCATGCAGCAACAGTGAAAAATAAAATAAGCCTTCGAAAATTTCAAAAACCACAGACAAGTTATTCTGTCGAACAAACGAATCTATCGATAGTTAACCTGATTCGACTCTAATGATGTTGATCTTTGAGGAATGTTATTTTTTCGTGAAATAATTGGATTTTGAATTACGAGTTCAATAAAAATACCTCAAAATAGAGCTGAGTATTTCAGAAAATAACAATAAAACATCTGTCAAATCGGATGCGCGCTCGTAAAAAGTAGGTCACTTCATTGATTTTACCCTGCTTTTTCCGAATATCGAAACAGATCTACAAAATATTTCTCCTGTTTTCTCTCAAGACGGACCTGGATTCTGATCCAGATTTTCATTTGATTTTGATGGGTAGTATAGATGGAATATTCCTACCTTGTATGAATATATTATACAAAGTGATTGAAAAGCTAACCTAACCTAACCTGACCAGATGAAGATTTTGACAAAATTAAGATAACGTCCTGTATCTAAGTTATAAAAGACGGTAAACACATCCGAGGGGATGATTTGGAACCATCAAAGTGTCCTCTATTTACAGGTAGCGTATGTACATTTAAATCTGAATCACCCTGTATACACCGTGTCCCAGATAAAATGTCCCCCCCTGTAAAAAATCAACCGCGCGATCGAATGACTTGAAATTTGGTCACCTAGTATATTTGATGATGCTCACTCGAAATATGCTATTGAATAACTACTAGGTATACAGGGTCACACCGAAGTGCACCTCAACTTCCTTATTTGAATAGGGACACTCTATATATTATTCCATATTCAAGTAGAGGTCATTATTACAAATTCAACAATGTCGGGTTTGATGGGATTATTTCGAACTACGAAGATATGGCAAAAAATAAAACGATTCAATGAAAAATTTATATGATTTGATTATATATATATATATATATATATATATATATATATATATATATATATAGATAACTACACGGTCATTGTTGAGCCCGATCAGCATATGAACGGTACGTAGTGAAGCCCGATGAAACGTTGTTGAGCCCAGTTTCGGGCTCAACAACGTATCGCCCTGTATCTCTTCACTGAGTGGCCAGAATTGTTTGAAAAGCCATTTCCCGCATTTTTGGTTGGGCTCCACAATATACCGATAATATAACCGACATACAGCGAGAACTTCGGGGATCGGCCTGTAGAGGGCGCTTTTTTGTATATAGGGATATACACTTCAGATTTGTATAAACGTTGTTGAGCCCACACATGATTGTATCGTTGTTGAGCCCTAAATTTGGCAACGTCGCAATTGTTGATATTGAGGATACACAATTTGTCCTGGGACCTCTGCATCATGATGATGATGATGTGAAATAAGAACTTGATACTAGCACGTAAGAGTGTTGAGAAAAGTGTCCTGTTCATTATGTAATCATTCTTCCAACTTTGATAGTTAATATCTTCCGTTGGCGGAAAGCTATCATGTTGCGGTTTTCGTTGGTCTGTTGAGATTTAGTTTCTCTATTACATCGTGTAATATGCATACCATTTGATTTATTCTATCTCAAACTTGTATTGTATCATCATTCGTTGCTGAGATATGGCTGACAGCCGTTCTTAGTTGTTCACCCTGTACAACTCTTTTTCGTTTTGATATTTGACAAAACGATGAAAAATCTCGAGAGGATAATCAATCTGTTCCATGATTGCAGAAAGAAAATTCTATTTGTTGACGAGTTCGATATCAGGTAATACCTGAGTTGTTAAAACACTCGACAGTTTTTTTTTTCAATTTATATCGGAGTTTTTTCCAATCAGCTCATTTCCTACAATAAGCACTGCAAATTGAATACATATCAAATCATGATACAGGTAGTTTGATGCTTCAGGCAAATATTCGAGGCCTCATGCTACAAAGAGTCAGATTCATTCTTGGCTTGATTATCAGTGCATGAATATCACAGCATTGTCTGTTGGTATAGCTAAAAAGAGACAAATCTAGTCCCAGAATGATTGAAGAGTACCTTTCGAATGTGAGTAGTTCAATTCATCATCTTTTTTTTTCTCACTTGCAAATCGTTTCAATAAATATTGAGTAACGTTCCGGAATAAGATAATGAGTATGCATAGATCATTTAATCTCGCAAGAAGCAAAGGTTGTAGATCTAAATATGATAATAATTGGATCTGTAGCCAAAGCTGTGGCTCTCCTATTTTGACCATGAATTAAGATGGATTGTGCAACTCTCTGAATGCAAAATAAAAATCAGTGATTTCGCTACCATGTTTCCGAACATGTCAACTCCATGTTTTCTGGCAGAGATTCTTGCGCACTCCCCAACTCATCAACGATCCGATTTATCAACGACCAAACTCATCAACACATCAACGACACGACTCATCAACGGTCAACTCATCAACGGTCAACTCATCAACGATTCACCTCATCAGCGACCTAACTTTTCAATCAACCTAACTCCTCAAAAAACAAACTCATCAACAACCCAACTAATCAACGGTCAACTCATCAATAATACTACTGATTAACGACCCGAGTCGTAAACGGCCAGATTTATCAACGAAATACCCATCAACGAGTCAAATCTTCAACGACTCAACTCATCAATAATACTCGCCACATCAACGATACACGACACAACTCATCAACGACGCAACTTATCAACGAGTCGAATCGTTAAGGACCAAACTAATCAACTGCCCAACTCATCAACGATCCGATTCATCAACGACCCAACTCATGTCCACGATCAACACATTAACGACCCACCTATTCAACAATCAACTTCATCAACGAGTCAAATCATCAACTACCTAACTTATCAACGATCAACACATTAAGTACTCAACTCATCAACAATCAACTCTTCAACGACTCAACTAATCGATTCACCTCATCGACGACCTGACTAATCAACCAAGCTAACTCATCAACGAAACAACCCATCAATACCCCACTCACCATCCAGGCAACCAGATGACGCTTCAGAGACTTTTTTTCACGTCAGTCACAGCCCAATGACGTCATATTACTCACGTTTATTGACGTCATTCACTCACCAAACTGTGACATCATGCTGGCGTCAAAATGACGTCAGAATGACGTTCAAATTTGGTGATGACAAATAAAAAAGTTTCCTCGAATATAATATTGATTATGCATTGTTGAGTCTACTTGGTGGCCCCTCCGGTGTCATGTCCATTGAATCGTCTATTCAGCAGCGCTATCCCTTAGTACCATAAAATCAGTTACTCGAAATTGTATAACAAATTATGTAGTTTGTGTCGGCGAGATGTGAGCAAACCAAAAATAGTTTGATTGCAATGAAAACGATGTTGGCGAATTCAGCTTCACTTTGTTGAGTAACGTATATTCATAAATTATTTGTCACCCAACAAAAATCTGAATAGCAAATGATTAAAAAAATTTCTGAATGACGGAGCTCACCAAATTGGTACGTCACACCGACGTGGTTTTTAGACGTCATAGATACGTCACTGCAAAGTCATCGAAGTGACGGTTCCAATATAGGTACACCTATTTTGAATTCTGAATATAAACATATATAGCTTACTTTTTGGGAATATATAATTCCTATGAACCTTGCATGTTTTGATGAGTTATACTTATATCTATATATCTATAAAATTACCAAGACGTACAAGTTTCTATATATCAGCGTAAATTGATGAACAATTTATTTTTTCTGAAAACCTTTCGCCACTGAAAATACCCATCCTGTATATATAGGTACGTCATGAAACTGTCGTCTTATTTTACCTCTCTAACTGACGTTCCCTAGACGACGAGATGATGACGTATTTCTCACGTCATAGGAAGTAGTTGAAGTGTTGAATCATCGATGAGTTGGGACGCTGATGATTCGATACGTTGCCCAGGCAACCATATGACGAATGATCATGTCACTGTGACGTCCCTAATCGGTGATTTTTTGTCAGAAACGTCACACAAGTTTTTGACGTCTCTGACGGAGAATCACCAATTAGGGACGTCACAGTGACATGATCATTAGTCATATGGTTGCCTGGGCAACGTATCGAATCATCAGCGTTTCAACTTATCAATGACTCAACACTGCAACGGTCAACTCTTAAATGATTCAATTCACCGACGATCAAGTCATCAACAAACCAACCCATTAATGACCCAAC